TTCTCACTTTTTCTTTATCTTTCCTCTTTCTTTACACATTCAAATATCAATCAAATCTAAGAAAAAAATAAATACTTAAACACCAAAAACAAAAATCGTTGATATATCTTTTAAACACAAATCAAAAAGAACCAAAACCAAAACTTTATCATCTTCTTGATTTTACTTATAACCTCTACCTATACCAAACTCCAAAAGAACCTTCACTCTAACAACCAGTCTAACCATCGAAAAAGACCCATTCATTCTCTATTCTCTGAACCTCAACATGTATTTTTGATGATGATCTCGATTTTTTTTCTAATCATTTGTCCTTGATGAATTTTCTCATTTACTTGATCATTCTATACTCCATTTATTGTGTAATAGATGCAGGAAAACTAAAATCAGTTTGATCTTGTTTACTTTCACCTCCAGAATTAAATCCAATCCTAATTCTTAATCTAATAGCAGCCTATCAAAATAAAACACCCAAAAAAAAGATCAATAAAAAAACCCCCGGTTCTTTTTGAAAAAGAACATTTACAGACTTACTCCTTCTGGATACATGATTCTTAATTGTTGAGTTTCTACTACTCCTGGCATTATATCTGGATTAGAAATCGAAAGCATTTGTAACCTTTGAGTCTATACACAAAAACAAACAAATCAAGATCAATCTCAATTCAATTCCTTCCCAAAATCAACCAAACTATTTCAAAAAAACCCCTGATCTCTTCTAAAAAGAAGAACAAAAAAAACTCAACTTTAGGTACAGCAGCTTGAAAGTTAACTCCCATAATAGCTTCAATTCCCGTAGTAACAAACTGAGCGGTGATCTTCAAAACATTCTTAGCCGAAGGATCTCTAGACGGTAAAAGTGAAACCTTCAATCCGTTCCGATCATAGGCCACAAAACTAGGAGGAGCCGGTGGGCTTTCCATCACCATTGATCCTCCCATCACATCTTCATCAAATAATGATGAACCCATCGATGGTTGTGGAACATTGCTTGTTGCTGAGGGTGGTAAAGAAGTCGGATTAAAGAGACCGAGAATATCATTCACAGACGATTTTGGTGGACCTTGATTATTGGTCACATTCGTTCCTGGATCTCCTCCTCCAAAAATATCTGCTAAAAGGTCTTGTGTAGTTTGAGTTGATACTACTGCTGGTGCGTTCTCATTTCCTTGATTTGTATTACTAATCTCATCTCCCATAAGATCAACCAATGACTGTGTGTTTCAATAAACAAAGAATCGACATAATCAGAGCTTTAGTAAAAAAATCAATCACTCAAATCATTTTTCAAAAGTTTGCTTACATCTTTATCAGCCCTTGTAGATCCAACGGCTCTTTTCTCACTAACAGTTCCCATAACCGAAGCCTTAAGTTCAGGTGGAGGCATTCGTTCTAAAACCCCGGTTTTGATTTCCGACATTCCAAGTAGTTGACTAAACTCTACTGCTCTTTGTTGGATTTCTAATTCAGATGAAGACATATATCTTGAAAGGATTTGATTTATAGTTTGTTGTGAAAATGCTGAAGGTGAAAGTCTTGATGAGAATTTAGCCAAGGCTGTTAAGGCGAATTGTCGAATTAATTGGTTGACGTATGGTGAGAGAAGTACTAGATCGATTAATTCGACTATATCTGTTTCTTTAACCTTTGAACCGATCCACACAGCATAATCAGTATCTCTAGCAATCCGTGAAGATGCAAATATCAAGTATCAATCATACCTCTTGTACAAGTTCTTCAGATTCAAGGTTTACACCACCACCATGACTTCTAAGTATAACTTCACCGAATTCACCAATAACCCAAAGACCAGCTAAAGTTAAAGATTCTTGTGAAACATCTTGTCTTAGAGCTAAATACAATTTTTGAGTTGTATAAGCTTGTAATTCAGGTGTATGACAAATCAATCTAACAAAAGCAGATAAAACTTCTTCTCGAACATAGTTTCCAGCCTGAATACAAACCAATCAAAGAAGGTACATCTCAATATTAATCAAATCTACCGCGTCAAGAGCTTTTGAAAGAATCTCAAGACTTACCAATTTCAAGACCCTCAACATAGTATCAATATGCCACCTTTTATTAGGAGCAAATCGTTCC